CAACAGTACCCACAACACAACGTTACCTTCAACCTCACTGTACCACCTACTGATGCCAATAACAAAATCCCCCCAACAAACACAGAATACAACCTCGTTCATATTTGCTAATATACAGGGCCTTAAGCCATCCACCAACAACAAAATACCTTTTATCAGTGGACTTAAGAACATAAGAACATAAGAACATAAGAACGAAGGAACACTGCAGAAGGCCTACTGGCCCATGCGAGGCAGGTCCAAGTCTCCTACCGGCTTAAGCCAATGCACCCAACCTAGTCAGGTCAGGTCACATTGACTTAAGGGAGGAACACGGCAACAGACCTGGTAGCACAAGCTATCAGGTCTAACTCACACCCACCCACATCCACTCATGTATTTATCCAACCTATTTTTAAAGCTACACAACGTTCTGGCCTCTATAACGGTACTTGGGAGTTTGTTCCACTCATCCACAACTCTATTACCAAACCAGTACTTTCCTATATCCTTCCTGAATCTGAATTTTTCCAACTTAAAACCATTGCTGCGAGTCCTGTCTAGGCTAGATATTTTCAGCACACTATTTACATCCCCTTTATTTATTCCTGTCTTCCATTTATACACCTCAATCATATCCCCCCTAATTCTACGTCTTTCTAGAGAGTGCAGATTCAGGGCCCTCAGTCTATCCTCATAGGGAAGGTTTCTGATACATGGGATCAACTTTGTCATCCTCCTTTGTACATTTTCCAGAGAATTTATATCCATTCTGTAATAAGGTGACCAAAACTGTGCAGCATAATCTAAATGAGGCCTAACCAAGGATGTATAGAGTTGAAGAACAACCTTCTAGAGGAGTCTAATGCAATGTTTGCAGCCTTCACAGAGACTCGCACAAAAGATCACTTTGACAGTGAAATATGGATAAGTGGTTACAACCTTTTTAGATGCGACAGAAAAAAACAGGCAACAAGGGGGGGGTTGGCCTGTATGTCAAAGAGTCCCTTATCTGCACGAAGTTGCTGAACACCACAAATGAGGTAGTTGAAGTTCTATCAATAAAGATCGAGAACCAAAACCTAGTCATTGTGGTTGTATACAAGCCACCAGATGCAACCTCACAACAGTTCAAGGAACAGCTACTGAAAATTGATTACTGTTTGGAAAACCTTCCAGCTCCATCCCCAAACATCTTACTGCTTGGTGATTTCAACCTAAGGCATACAAAATGGAAGAATGTAGCAAATAATGTTATAGCTGAAACAATCCCCGGAGGTAGCGCAGATGAAAGGTCACACACACATGAGCTACTAAGTCTGCGAAAAACACACCTTAAGCCAGCAGCTAGTGGAGCCAACAAGAGTAGAAAACACACTTGACCTTATCTTCACAAATAATGAGGACCTGATAAGAGACATAAGAATATCAAAAACAACTAATTCCGATCACAACCTAATCGAAGTCCAGACGTACATGCATAGGGGTCCTGATCAGCAGAATGCATGTACCTGTGAAGGTGTCTTCACAAAATACAACTTCAACAACAAGAACATCAACTGGACCAGGTAAACCATGTCCTAACGAAACATGTTGGAAGATGTCTTAAATGACCATGGATCCAAACCAGTGCCTTGAAAGGATCAACTTCCTGGTAGCCGAAGCATGCTCAAGGCATATTCCCTAAGAAAGAAGAAGAGCAGGAGTAAACTGGAGAGAAAAAGGACGCTCCCTCTACAGAAGACGACAAAAGAGTCACTGAGCTCCTCAGGAGTGCTAGAACATCTGATACACGAAAGGAGGCGTTTGGCCAGAAAGGGGAAACAAATCGAACTTAATAAATGACTCTTACAGGAACCAGGAGAGGCAGGAGGAGCTTAAGCTATTAGTGAAATTGAAAGAAATTCAAAATATTTCTTTTCATATGCCAAAAACAAGGCAAATACACATCTAGTATGGGGCCCTTACTCAGACAGGATGGGACTTACACAGATGCAAAAAGGGAAATGAGTGAAATATTGAAATCCCAGTACGACTCTGTGTTTAGTAAAACCACTAATCGGCCCTGAGGATCGACGACCCAAATGATTTCTTCATGAATGAGCCTCAAAACTCCATAAATGTATGCCAGATTTCCGACATTACCCTAACTCCGATAGATTTCAAAAAAAGCCATTGACAACATCCCTATGCACTCAGCCCCGGGCCCAGACTCATGGAACTCTGTTTTCATTAAGAACTGCAAAAAAACCCCTCTCGCGTGCCCTAAGTACACTATGGAGGAGGAGCTTGGGGCATGGGTGAAATTCCACAGTCACTTAAAACAACGGATATAGCCCCACTCCATAAAGGTGGCAGCAAAGCATTAGCTAAGAAACTATAGACCAATAGCCCCTGACGTCCCACACATAAAAAACTTTGAAAGAGTGCTAAGAAGCAGGATTTTCAAATCCCCCTGGATTCCCAAAATCTGCACAATCCAGGGCAACATGGGTTCAGGGCAAGTCGCTCCTTTCCTCTCACAACTACTGGATCACTATGACATGGCCTTGGATGCACTGGAAGAAAATCAGAATGCAGATGTAATATACACGACTTTGCAAAAGCCCTTTGACAAATGCGATCATGGCGTAATAGCCCATAAAATACGTGCTAAAGGGGAAAAACTGGGAAAGTGGGGAGATGGATCTTCAACTTCCTAACAAATCGAACACAAAGAGTAGTGGTCAACAGAGTTAAATCGGAGGCGCCAAGTGAAGAGCCTTTTGTTCCACAAGGCACAGTACTCGCCCCCATCTTATTCCTTATCCTCATACAGACATAAACAGAGATATACACCACAGCAAACCCTATCATCCTTTTCCGATGATACTAGGATCTGCATGAGGCTGTCATCGCTGAGGACGCGGTTAATCTCCAAAAAGATATAAACAAAGTTTTTTCCCAAAGGGCAACGGTAAACAATATGATGTTCAATGAGGACAAATTCCAAACTACTCCGTTATGGGAAACTGGAGGAGATAATAACTAGAACAAGTATACTACTGACTCCGGCCATACAATAGAGCGGAAAAAATAATGTAAGGGACCCGGGAGTAGTAATGTCTGAGGATCTCACTTTCAAGGATCACAACAGTGCCACGATCGCACGTGCAAAGAAAATGATAGGATGGATAATGAGAACTTTCAAAACGAGAGATGCCAAGCCCATGATGATCCTTTTTAAATCACTGTTCTCTCTAGGCTGGAATATGCTGTACATTAACATCTCCATTCAAAGCAGGTGAAATCGCAGATCTAGAGAGTGTACAGAGATCCTTTACTGCACGTGTAAGTTCTGTCAAGCACCTTAACTACTGGGAACGCTTGGAAGCACTTGACTTGTACTCGTTGGAACGCAGGAGGGAGATATATATCATAATCTACACTTGGAAAATCTTGAAGGAATGGTCCCAAATCTGCACACAGAAATCACTCCCTACGAAAGTAAAAGACTGGGCAGGCGATGCAAAATGCCCCCAATAAAAAGTAGGGGCGCCATTGGTACACTAAGGGAAAACACCATAAGTGTCCGGGGCCCAAAACTGTTTAACAGCCTCCCATCAAGCATTAGGGGAATTGCCAATAAACCCCTGGCTACCTTCAAGAGAGAGCTGGACAGATACCTAAAGTCAGTGCCGGATCAGCCGGGCTGTGGCTCGTACGTTGGACTGCGTGCGGCCAGCAGTAACAGCCTAGTTGATCAGGCCCTGATCCATCGGGAGGCCTGGTCATGGACCGGGCCGCGGGGGCGTTGATCCCCGGAATAACCTCCAGGTAACCTCCAGGTACCCGTAACACATGTTATCTTCAACACAAGGCGAGGTTAAAACCCGCAATCAGAGTCTCAAAATTCCAGACATCCTAACGCGATGGTCTGGAGTTTTGAGACACACTCAGTACCCACAACACAATGTTACCCTCAACCTCACTGTACCCGTAACACATGTTATCTTCACAACAGTACCCACAACACAATGTTACCCTCAACCTCACTGCACCCGTAACACATGTTATCTTCAACACAACAGTACCCACAACACATGTTACCCTCAACCTCACTGTACCCGTAACACATGTTATCTTCAACACAACAGTACCCACAACACAATGTTACCCTCAACCTCACTGTACCCGTAACACATGTTATCTTCAACACAACAGTACCCACAACACAATGTTACCCTCAACCTCACTGTACCCGTAACACATGTTATCTTCAACACAACAGTACCCACAACACATGTTATCTTCAACACAACAGTACCCACAACACATGTTATCTTCAACACAACAGTACCCACAACACATGTTATCTTCAACACAACAGTACCCACAACACATGTTATCTTCAACACAACAGTACCCACAACACATGTTATCTTCAACACAACAGTACCACAACACATGTTATCTTCAACACAACAGTACCCACAACACATGTTATCTTCAACACAACAGTACCCACAAACATGTTATCTTCAACACAACAGTACCCACAACACATGTTATCTTCAACACAACAGTACCCACAACACATGTTATCTTCAACACAACAATACCCACAACACATGTTATCTTCAACACAACAGTACCCACAACACATGTTATCTTCAACACAACAGTACCCACAACACATGTTATCTTCAACACAACAGTACCCACAACACATGTTATCTTCAACACAACAGTACCCGCAACACAACAATACTGGCAACATAAAGCAATATCAACAACATACAACGTTACATTCAACACAAGATGATCACAAGGTCGATAATAGTAAGACGCACACGAGTATAGTGCTAACAACGTTGTATCACAGCACTGTTTACAATGTTCTGTTAAACTACACCATGTTTACAATGTTCTGTGTAAACTACACCATGTTTACAATGTTCTGTGTCAACTATACAGTATTTACAATGTTCTGTGTAAACTACACAATGTTCACTATTAACAAGTCTATGGGCAGATCATACAATGTACAGTGTGTCAGGAGATTCTGGTGAGAGACGTGTGGAGTGCGAGGCAGCTGGTGGTGAGAGAGGTGAGAGACAGGTGTTGTGTCTCAGTGGAGGGCAGCAGCAGTCAACTGTCCTGAAGAGGCACAGAGCTCAGGAAGTATTATCATTCAACTCCTCCCTCCTTCCCTCCCTGCCTCTCTCCCCCGTCTACTCGCCTCAAACTCCGTCAATCCACCCTGCCTCCCTTACCACATCTATTCTCCCCACTCCCAATCCTGCCCTAATCTGTTTCCTTTCCATTCTTCTCAGACTCTTTCTCCTTCCTATTTTTTTTTTTGCCTCCTTGTCCATGCTGGTCCCCCTTCCTTTCCCTTGCTTATCGTTTAACCCTTTCCTCTTCGTCTTTTTTTTTCAATCTTGTGTCTACCCTTGTATCATATTACTTCCATTTCTCCTTCCCCTCTCTTTATCCTTGCTTGCCGCTTGTTCTCATCTTCTCCCTTTCAATCTCTTTCCAGTCTCATCCTCTTATTCTTGCCTCACCTCTCTTCCTTCAGCCTCGACTCCTTCCCTCCCACGGGATGAGTATCACACACTCCTTCACACGTACACAATAATGGCAAGCTTCCATATCATCACAATCTGTGTCCCAACCTTCCACAGTTAAGCTTTAAATCTTCCACAGTCAAGTTTCAAAATTTGTACATATAACGAACAAAGCTTCCGTAATGTGAGGCTCATACTCTCCAGTTATGGGAGAAGGGGAAAGAGGGTAGGGGGGCTCAAGTTTATACAGGTGGTGTTGCAATATTACACACAAAGATTCGAAGCTTCTAGAAGTTAAGCTCGAACCTTCCAGATGTAAAATTTAAAACGTCTGCAAATAAAGTTGGAATCTTACTGTACATGTGAGAGATTCTCGACTTCATGTACGGCTCCAAGCTTCCATAAAAGAAATTTAAGCAACAAACAGTGACCAGAAATACAATATATACATTGAGAGGTGTATTACTCTCGGTGACGGAATATATACATTGAGTGGTTTATTACTCTCAGTGACGGAATATACACACTGAGAGATGTATTTCTCTCAGTGACACTATATATACATTGAAATGTGTATTTCTCTCGGTGTATATATGACGATAGCTTACTTTAATCCTTATTTTAGGTATTCAGGTATTCATGTCTGGTGGCGAAAACGTTACTATGAAGCCATAATGACGCCAATGTTGTCTCAGTACCTGCTACAGCCAGGGAGTGTTGTCTCAGTACCTGCTACAGCCAGGGAGTGTAGTCTCAGTACCTGCTACAGCCAGGGAGTGTAGTCTCAGTACCTGCTACAGCCAGGGAGTGTAGTCTCAGTACCTGCTACAGCCAGGGAGTGTAGTCTCAGTACCTGCTACAGCCAGGGAGTGTAGTCTCAGTACCTGCTACACCCTGGGAGTGTAGTCTCAGTACCTGCTACAGCCAGGGAGTGTAGTCTCAGTACCTGCTACAGCCAGGGAGTGTAGTCTCAGTACCTGCTACAGCCAGGGAGTGTAGTCTCAGTACCTGCTACACCCTGGGAGTGTAGTCTCAGTACCTGCTACAGCCAGGGAGTGTAGTCTCAGTACCTGCTACACCCTGGGAGTGTAGTCTCAGTACCTGCTACAGCCAGGGAGTGTTGTCTCAGTACCCGCTACAGCCTGGGAGTGTAGTCTCAGTACCTGCTGTAGCCACACCCTAACCTTCAACTCTCCCTCACAAATACTAATTCACACACTTTAATATAACCATGTGATACAATTCCTGGTATGCAGATATATTCTGGTATAACCTAATATGCCGCTGCACTCTGGCTCGGTCAAATATTTTTAATACTGTTATCTTCCATTAGTTCATTTGTTGATTTTGGACTGATTAATATAATTCCTGAAATATAATTTGACTTAAGGTGGAGATTTCTGGCATCTGGATTGACTAGTTACGTTTCTGCGGTGGTGGTGGTGACGGTGGTGACGGTGGTGATAGTTGTGACGGTGGTGACGGTGGTGATGGTGGTGGTGGTGATGGTGATGGTGGTGGTGGTGGTGGTGATGGTGGTGGTGGTGGTGATGGTGGTGGTGGTGATGATGGTGATGGTGGTGGTGGTGATGGTGGTGGTGGTGGTGGTGACGGTGGTGACGGTGGTGACGGTGGTGTAGTTGTGACGGGTGGTGACGGTGGTGTGGTGGTGTGGTGATGGTGGTGGTGGTGTGGTGGTGGTGGTGATGGTGGTGGTGATGGTGTGTGTGAGGTGGTGTGAGGTGGTGGTGAGTGACGTGGGTGGTGGTGACGGTGGTGAGTTGGTGGTGGTGGTGGTGACGGTGGTGGTGGTGGTGGTGACGGTGGTGATGGTGTGGTGGTGGGGTGGTGAGGTGGTGACGGTGGTGGTGGTGTGGTGTGGTGGGTGGTGGGTGATGGTGGGTGGTGGTGTTGGTGGTGGTGGTGGTGGGTGGTGAGGTGGTGTGAGGTGGTGGTGGTGAGGTGGTGGGTGGGTGGGTGGGTGGACGGTGGGTGGTGAGGGTGATGGTGGGGTGTGTGGTGGTGACTGGTGGTGGTGGGTGGTGGTGGTGGGTGGTGGGTGGTGGTGTGGTGGAGGTGGTGTGGTGATGTGTGGTGGTGTGGGTGGTGGTGGATGTGGTGGTGGTGGTGGATGTGGTGGTGGATGGTGGTGGTGTGGGTGATGTGTGGGGTGGGGGGGTGGTGATGTGGTGGTGTGGTGTGTGGGTGGTGGGTGGTGGTGGTGGGTGGTGGTGGTGGTGATGGTGGGGTGGTGGTGGTGGTGTGGTGGTGATGGTGGTGGTGTGGTGTGATGGTGGTGGTGATGGGGTGGGTGGTGGTGGTGGTGGTGGTGTGGTGGTGGTGTGGTGGGTTGGGTGGTGGTGGTGGTTGGTGGTGGTGTGGTGGTGGTGTGTGGTGGTGGGTGGTGGTGGTGTGGTGGTGTGGTGTGTGGTGGTGATGGTGGATGGTGGTGATGGTGATGGTGGTGTGGTGGTGATGGTGGTGGTGTGTGGTGGTGGTGATGGTGGTGGTGGTGGTGTGGTGGTGGTGGTGGTGGTGTGGTGGGATGGTGTGTGGTGATGGTGGTGTGGTGGTGGTGGTGGTGGTGGTGGTGTGGTGGTGATGTGGTGGTGGTGGTGTGTGGGGTGGTGAGTGGTGGGTGTGATGGTGATGGTGGTGTGGTGATGGTGGTGGTGGTGGTGATGGTGGTGGTGGTGGTGGTGGTGGTGGTGGTGGTGGTGGTGAGTGGTGGTGGTGTGGTGGTGGTGGTGGTGGTGGTGGTGGTGGTGGTGGTGGATGGTGTGGTGGTGGTGGTGATGGTGGACTGTGGTGGACGTGGTGAGTGGGATGGTGGTGGGTGGTGGTGGTGGTGGTGGTGGTGAGGTGGGTGGTGGTAGGTGTCGTGGTGGTGGATGTGGTGTGGTGGTGGTGGTGATGGTGTGGTGGTGATGGTGTGTGTGGTGGTGTGGTGGTGGTGGTGGTGGTGGTGGTGGATGGTGGTGGTGGTGAGTGGTGGTGGTGGTGGTGGTGAGTGTGGTGGGTGATGGTGGTGTGTGATGGTGGTGGTGGTGGTGGTGGTGATGGTGTGGTGGTGATGGTGTACGGTGGTGGTGGTGGTGGTGATGGGTGGTGACGTGGTGGTGGTGATGTGTGGTGTGGTGTGGTGTGGTGGTGGTGGTGTGGTGGTGGGTGGTGATGGTGGTGATGGTGGTGAGTGGTGGTGTGTGGAGGTGGTGATGGTGTGAGTGTGGTGAGTGGTGGTGATGGTGGGTGAGGTGGTGATGGTGGTGACGGTGGTGAGGTGTGACGGTGGTGTGTGTGGTGGTGGTGATGGTGGTGACGGTGGTGAGTGGTGATGTGTGTGTGGTGATGGTGGTGAGGTGGTGGGTGGTGATTGGGGTGGTGAGGTGTGATGGTGGTGTGGTGGGTGGTGGTGTGGTGAGTGGTGACTGGTTGATGGACATCGTGAATTGTGGTGAGTGATGGTTTGGTGTGACTGGTGGTGGTTGTGCGCTGGTTGATGGTGTGACTTTGGGGTGGTATGTGTGATGTGTAGTGGTGACGTAGGTGTTGATGGTATGGTGTGTCGGTGGGATGGTATGTGGTGTGTAATGTGGTGATGATTAGGTGGTGAGTGCTGTGGTGTCGGTATGGTGAGGTTGTAGTTGGTGATGATGTGTACGGTGGTGATGGTGGTGGGTGTGGTGATGGTGGTGGTGGGGGTGACGGTGGTGGTGGTGGTGGTGGTGGTGGTGGTGGTGGTGATGGTGGTGGTGGTGACGGTGGTGACGGTGGTGGTGGTGACGGTGGTGGTGGTGATGGTGGTGGTGACGGTGGTGGTGGTGATGGTGGTGAGGGGCGGGATTAAGACTAGACAAAAGATGGAACATCTTGTTAATACATAACTAATATTGTTTGTATGTCTCCTACTGGAGCGACTGACACTGCCAGTAAAACTTAACATCCTGGTACTTTAAATAGATATTCACCATCATTCTTGGTCTTGCTACTCAACATCATATATTGAAAAATACTCTTCAACACGAAGTCTCTATAAACCTCATGGGTCTTTCAGTAGAGCGATTAATCACAGTAAGAGCTCCTACCACAATGATGCGCCTCTGCAATATTGATGAGTCCTTTGTCGTCACTGCACATGAAGAGTATCCAGCAACGATTACTGCCAAATTTACTTGATAGTTCGTGTAGTGATGGCCCCCGCGGCCCGCTCAGGATCACTCCCTATTCATCACATTCACAGTCATCTGTAGCTGCTTCACTCTTTTCATGATGATGATAAAAATATATATATTGTACCTTGACGGAGGCTCCAGCCTGCACTAGTTCTGCTGAATGACGCACACTGGGAGGCCTGGTCTATGACCCGGCCTCAGGGGCGATGACACCTGAAACCTTCCAGGTGTAGCCAAGTTTACCATTACACATGATTTTACACTCAACTCACATGGATAGTGCCCACCCCCAGCACCACCCTACTGCCCACCCCCTGCACCACCCTACTGCAGCTATGGAAGAAAAATTGGCAATAAAAGATCTATAAAAACCTGCTAAGCCCACAAAGGATCTTACGGCATCAGCAGTTTTGGGAGTTGGAAAATTTAGTACTGCAGTTACT